GTCTCCTGCGCACGCGCAGGAGACGCTCTTGCACTTTCGGGGGGGATTAAAAATACCCCCCCATTTTTTTTTTAATTTTTTTTTTTTTTTTTCTCACGGGCAGAGCGTCTCCTGCGCACGCGCAGGAGACGCTCTTGCACTTTCGGGGGGATTTAAACATCCCCCCGAATTTTTTTTTAACTTTTTTTATTTTTGTGCACACGTGGGGATTGGCCCACGTGTGCACAAACCTCCCCCGGCCCCCCAGCTGCCCCCTCCGTGCTGATTTAAGTATCCGCACGGAGGGGGCAACTTGGCTATTAGTATAAGGATTATTGTCCATCTTTTTCACTGTAAGAACTTTGCAGCAATTTGTGTTTTGATGTCTATTGTATTGCTGTTCCCTTGATTGCTATTATGGAGGAGAAAGGGAACAGATCCACGTCTCCGCCTTCAGGACCAGGGCCCCTGCAGCTACTCACGAGTCCACGTGATTCTCAAACGAAAGGATGACAGGAAAAGGCGACGTCTTGAAGGCACTTTCAGCAATGGCCTCTATGACTTCCTGTAATTAAAAACAGGACAGGAAAAGAGGTTAAGGGGGTCAAGAAGTACTTCTCTGGATATAGTGGAGCAGGGGACAAAGGGAGAAGGAGGAGCTACATTATGAAGAAAGTTCTGCCGCTGCATCAGGACCAGGGGTGTGCAAAAAAAAAAAAAAGGTACTTTTCAAGTTTGGATATAACTCAACCCCAAAAATATCAATATTTGCCAATATTCCTGAATCCCAATACCAGTATGTTATTAGGATTTGGGATTTTTCAGAAATGCCAATTTTTTCTGCCTCCATTATACCCTATGGGGACCATTATAGTCAATGGTCTCCACAGGGTATAATGGGGAATCGATCCAGGGGTATCTGGGGCTCACGGGAGTGGTTGGTTTTTTTTGAGGTAGAGGCACCAATTTGCAGCATAGCTGCTGGTGCCTCTCCTGAAAAAAACACCTAGTTTCAAAAATATTGGACCAGAGAGTGCAATTCTATGAGCCCCCAAAGAAGGTGTCCCCATCCTCCATTGGTTTCATAGGAGGAGGGAAGTGTTCAAAGGGATTGTGGCCCCTTTAAATGCCGTTTCCAAGCCACAAGTAAACTCCAAAGGCATTAAAAGACACGCAGTCCCTTTAAACACCTTCTCCAAGAGGAAAGTTCACCTGGAAGGCATTTAAAGGGACTGCAATCCCTTTAAACGCCCTTTAACTTCGACTATCTGGTGGTCCCAAAAAATCCTGAATATTTTTGAGATTTTGGCCATTTTGGATAGCCAAAAAAAAAACCCCCAAACATATATCCAGCTGAAAGAATAGCCAGGAAATACCAATAATTTATTTTTCTGATATTTTTCCGGCTCAGATATAGCTGAATGCACATTCCTAGTCAGGATTCAAACCCACACCAGGCCCTTAACTGTTGACCTAAAGCAGGGGTCCCCAACCTTTTTGAGCCTGTGGGTACATTTGAATTCTGACATGACAAAGTAGGTACAGCAACAAAATGGCTGCTGCAGGAGGTGAAACCAGCAACAAAATGATTGCCACAGCTTAATAAATAAATATCCCCTTTTTATTGGAAGCTCCTGACTGTCCACTGTGGGAAAGAAAATGGTGGAATCGACAGCCCTTTGCCAAATCCTTTGAGATCTTTTTATGTTCTCCAAGTTATAACATAAATAAAAAAGAACCAGCTCAACTCAACTTTTTAAAGTGGGACCCACTCCTAAACTACTTACTCAAACTTTCAGGACCTACTTGCAAACTCAATTCTATTCTAGTATCCCCCTCTCCATCATAAAACACAAAACTCTTACATCAGTTAACACTGAACATGTTTATATTTAAATATAAATAGAGTATACTTAAATATCGTGGCTTTTTAGAACCAAAACTTGCTTTTGGAGGGGAGATTTCAGCTGTTGCTCATGAAAGAAAACAGATGGCTATGCAGAAAAGGAGGGAGAAACCTCATTAACTTGTTCAGACACATGCTGGAAAAAAGAAATTCCAACCAGAAAATGTGCAATCTTGTCCACTTAAGAGAAGAATCAAGCCATGAACTAGTTGAGTATCTTGCTGGGATACACCTTGAACTGGTAGTGTTAGAGCAGAAAGTGCCAGACAACAGTGTTACCCAGAATATGCTGGGGAAATGGTAGGTGTTCACAGGCGAAGAAACAGACAGCGTGGAAAAAAAGGATTTCAACAAGGAAGCAGGTTGCAGCATTTCACTGCCAGCGCCAAGACAAATGCAGAAGCAACTGTTTGCCTCTCTGGGCCACACAATCAAAGAAACACATTTCAGAATGAGACGGAAGCTGCTGTGCCCATCACCTCCTGCACCACCAGAAGTTAGCCCAACAATCATGGCAGTACTGACAGTGCCACAGACAGGGCTCAGCAGAGGTCATTTCGTAGGAAAAGAGCTAGGGGAACTCATTAGCATAACTCATTAGCATATGCCACATCCCCTGACATCACCGGAAGTGTGTCATAAGGCCACACACCCCTGACATCACCGGAAGTGTGTCATAAGGCCACACACCCCGCCCCCAACGGTCCCGGCCGCCGGCGCCAGCCTTGCAGCTCCACTGCCGAGCCCCATGAGGGGCCTGGCGGTGGACCTGCAAGGCCGGCGGGAGTGCAAGGAAGCCCCGCGAAGACCCTCCCTGGCCCCAGGCAGGCAGAGGTGGGGAGAGGCAGGGAGGAAGCAACTTACCCTCCCTCTTCTCCTGCCTCCTCCTGGCTGAATGAGGGCCAGAAGCGGGGCGGCCGGAAGCAGGGGGCGGGGCTTCGTCATGTGCCCCGCCCCCTGTACCTCACCCGGGGGAACTGCGATCCCCCCCGAAATGACCTCTGGGGCTCAGCCAGTATGCAGTTGGAGGCAGAGAGAATCTGGGAAGCGTGAGGTGTAAGCTATGGTCATCAGTTTCTATGCTGTGGGGCTTGGCTAAGCCAGAAAACATGGCTGGGACACTCACTCTATGTACTGCCTGGCAGAGCCTCTCCCTGAGGGAATGAGCAGAGCAAAGGAGGGAGGGAAATGTGGCAGCTCTGACCAGTTCTACCTCAGAAGAAGAAGAAGAGGAGGAGGAGATTGGATTTATACCCCGCCCTTCACTTGGGGTCTCAGAGCGGCTTACAAACTCCTTTCCCTTCCCCTCCCCACAACAGACACCCTGTGAGGTGGGTGGGGCTGAGAGAACTCTGACACAAACTGCTCTTTTTCAAGGACAGCTGTGCCAGAGCTTGTGACTGACCCAAGGTCACATCAGCAGGTGCAAGTGGAGGAGTGGGGAATCAAACCCGGTTCTCCCAGATTAGAGTCCGCACACTTAACCACTACACCAAACTGGCTCTCAATGATTGCTAGAAGGGGCAGGGCCACAGCTTCCTTTCCAGCTCAGGAATTCAGCCTTCAAGACAGTGGGTTGTGTGCTACCTGATCCCGCCTCCTCCCCTTGCGACGTCACACCTCACAGTTTGAGAACCACGGAACTAGACCAATGAGGAAGTCTCTTGACAGCCATAGGCCAGAGCAGGTCACGTGGCAACTCCAAGTCCCATATAAAAGCTTCCTGTCCTGACCTACTCTATGGCCTGAACAAGATGACTCTGCAGATCACACTCCCTCCAAGAGGTCACCTTTGCTTTCAAAGGCTATTCTCCAAGCTCATCTCAAAACAGACTATTTATCTATGGAGGAGGATTTGGGATATTTTCTCAAACATGCTCTCGAGCCCAGGAATAACTCGTTAGGAGGACCGATACCAGCTTCAGTACTGGAGGGAGAGTGAGCGGTAATAACCCCAGTTACCTTGAAGGGTATCTCTGTTGTCATAGTGAATCCGTGTGTGATGAAGGGCTCCTCGTCTTGGGGGCGTCCCTTCCAACAGTCAAGCTCGATGCAACGGCAGCCGCTCAGCAGCACCTGGCGATACATCTCTACCGAGGAATTGCCTGTCAGCTGCCCAGCTTTTGGGGGGAGGCAAGGAGGAAAGATATAGATACTGCTATGGGTGTGCAGAAGGTAAGAGGACCAGAGACCTAAAAGCCTGTCAGGATTCTTACCCAAATCTTTGAAAGGAAAAAGTTTTTGAAAATGCGCATTTCTATAGTATTTTCAGCATCCAAAGCACTTTACACATTACCTTGAAGTCTTTACAAGAGCCATGCAAGATAGGCCAGTTTTATCATTAGGGCAAACGGTGAGACTGCAGGGAGGTCAAGGGCGAGGCATGATTTGAACCAGGGGCATCCTGCAACACAGCTCGCTCATTTCAACCACTATGCTATAAAAGTTCTCACTTTAAAAAAACTCTCGCAGTCTAACCTACCTCACAGGAGTGTTGTGAGGATAAAATGAAGGAGAACAGGAAGCTGCTTTGGATCCCCACATTGGGGAGAAAGGAAGGATACAAATTAAGTAAGTAAATTAATTAAATATAGTCATAAAAGACAATCATTTGACAATCCCTATTGAGAGTTAAGTTTCTCTCACAAAACCCATTTCACCTCAAGTATACTGAGAGGGAAGTGTAACCTTGTGGCAATTTTTCCTGCTGCAGGATCAGTTCTGTCGCTCCATCTTGGCTCTCACATAACCATCCACTTACACCCGAGCTTCTTGAGTGTAAGCATCCGGATATGATTTGCCCCTTTTTAACATCACTGTACACTACCTGGTCCTTGAGGCACTTTCTAAATCAAGACTATTCCTAAAGCTCTTGTTCTGTGAGAACTAGAGGATGCAGCTGCAGCTTATTTGTGAACTATTAAGTCTGTGACACAAAGTCCTCAACATAGTGACAGCAACAGACAGTGTTTCACTGCCTATACATTGAGGCTTCACTGTGAAGAAACTGAAAGCAAGAGGCATTTTAGGACCACATGCATATTGTTTATTGGAGGCCCCTGCTGCATGATTAATTGGAAAAAAAACCCTGTATCAGCCTTGAATCTCAGTGAGGAAAGTGTAAATAAATAAAAATTGTGAAAGCACTACTTCCTTAAATGCAGAATTCGCAACGCCCCCAAGTCAAATGCAACTCACCCACAGCCTACGACAACCCAATCTTTAAAAGCTTGATTTGGTTACTGGGCCAGGATTGCAGAAACAGGTGGAGATTGACAAGCCATCCCGGTCAGCAGCTGTGTTTGGCATGACAAGTCAGAAATGACATAGGCCTGGAGTGAACTAAGGCCTAGTTTTTCACTGAGGTGATAAAACCACAATCTGGGCTCTACCACTTCAGGCTGTGGGATACTCACATGACTGAATGCCCTGCCATACAACACAAGTCTGGCTTAGCCTTTTCCCTGATATGCTATTTTTCCATGTGCCGGGGTGGTGGTGACCAGTTTCCCCTCACCCAAGAAAGTGCTGAAAACCAAAGGGCCATCTTCTCAACTGCCACCAATTTTAAGTTGGTGTTGCCACAGATGGCATTTGGGGGGGGCACAAGTCTTTCACTTCTAGGTTGGCACCTGGGGAAGTGGAGGGGGGGGGCAGTCCCTCTTGGTGGTCCCATTTGGATGCCTCATGTACCTGTGAGGTAGGTATTATGTGAGGAATTAATGAAGTAGCTGCTTAGAGGCTGGGTCATGTCGTCACTTAAATCCAGCTTGTCAGGAGGCACAATGGTGTTCTCCTCTCCCCCCAGGTAACGACCAAACCCTTCCATCGACATCTGGTCTGGGGAGAAAGGGGAAATGAAAAATAGGTCAATAGAAACAACAGAAGGGAGAGGGTGGGGGGGCCATAACTACTCCCACACTACCACGTAGGCCGGGGTTCCCCAACGTGGTGCCTGTGGGCGCCACAGCACCAGCCAAGCTTTACAGAAAGTGGGTGGGGCCGCTGTAAGGCAGGCGTTGCTATTGGCTACCCTCATTCAAATGAAAGGGTTTGCCACTGGAGGATCAGGAGAACAGATAAGCACCTGGACTTCCCTTAGCGTATGGTTCTATTCCCCGTTCAAGCCTTCCTTCTTCCCAGGAGGTGTGAGAAAGGAATTATTCCATTTGGCTCTGCCTCCCCCGCAGAAGCTGTTTCTGGGGTGGCATTCCCCCCCCCCAATTCCAAATGTGCCCACAGGCTCAAAAAGGTTGGGGACCCTTGACTTAGACATTATCCCTCTGTCCTTAGCCCGAGTACAAGAAGGGGGCTCACCACGTTGCTGGAACTGCTGATTGGGCTCGTACTTGTCAATTAGCTGCCGCACCTGGGCCCGAGTCAGTGGGGGGTACAGAACCTCGTTGAGACGGGGGTCCCGCTGCTTCTGGTTAATGAAGTCCATCAGCTGGTCCAAACTCAGGTAAGGCTTTCCCTTGGCTCCACTATTAGTAAGGGGAAGGCGGGAGGGGAAGCAGAAATCTTCATCCAAGTTTATCTCAGAAGAAACAAGGTGGGTGGCCTCACCATCAAAAACAGGCCACTTTATACAACAAAAGAGTTACCGGTTGTATAACTAAACTACTTTTTAAGGAAAAGCTCGGGATTCCCCCCCCAAGTTTATTCAAAAGGGATTAAACCACACGATAAATATACACGGACAGCTATTGACACTTTGATATAATTCAGTTGCCTGTAAACAAAATGCTTGATTGATTAGAAGTTAGGCCAGTGTAGACAAAATAAGAATATTCCATTACATCGTGCAAGCAAAATAAGCATATTAAGTGCACTGTATCTTTTCATGCTATCTGCATTACTATTAAATCGCCCCCCCCCAAAAAAAAAGGAAATCTGAAGAAAGCCAAATATACATCACTTCTCCCTAGTTTACTAGTCCTTGACAGACAACATCCGGCCTGTCTCTGGATCTGCCGCAAACTCTGGCCTTCAATCTTCCCCACCCACCCCACAGGGCCAACTCACATCTCCAGCAAGATTTTGTCTATGTCTGGGCGAAGGCAAAGCTTGTTCAGGAAGCGTTCGAAGATCTCCAGGGTGAACTCGTCAGGTTTGATGGACTCGCTCTGGAGGGAGGGCAGGCGAGAAGAAGAGTAAGTTGGATAGCTATGGGACAACTCCAGGTAGGAGAGATTTTGTAGTCTGAGAGGAGCGAAAGTAATAAATATAGGTTTGGGGAGCCCTCTGGGCCTCATTCGTTATGGAAGTCTAGAGGTACTTCCTCAGCAAAGGGATGGGGCTGAGGTTCAGCAAGAGCACAGGATTGGTCCTGGGTTCAATTCCCCAGCATCGCCAGTTAAAATCTCTCAAGAAACAAGATTTGGGATGGAGCTTTCATTACCCATATCCCTGGAGAGCTGCTGCCAGTCAGCGTTGAGAACACAAAGCTTGACAGGCCGGCCGGTCCTCAGATCAAGGGGAGACTGGACTAAGGAAATGGAGGGAACAACTCCTGCTCAGACCTCCAAGTCCCTGGGGGTGTGGGAGGGCCTCCAAGGGTTCATTAAAGGCCCAGGCAAGGTGGAGGAGGCGGATGTCATAGGAAGGGGGTGGGAGAGAAGAGAAGGAGAACCCAGGAAAGGAAGGAAAATATACCCTGTTAAAATTAAGGCCGCAGGACTCCAAGGCTGTCTCGACCCGCTTCTTGTCGGCGGAGAACATTTTGAGAATGCTGCAAGAAAAGGAGGGAAATTGGGGTCTCTGGGTCAAACGGGCAGAGCCAAGGGAAGACGTCAGGAGGAATACTAATGAAAAGACAGATGAGCCAGGAAGAGACCAAACACAGATGATAAAGGGTTTGGGGGAAAACGGATGACATACTAGGATAAGCCTGAAGAAACTGGCTATATTTGGTCTAAATAAACTGTGATACCGCTGGGGGTGGGGTGGGAGTAAAACATTTACAGGAGGCTGCGGTAGAGGAAGAACAGCTGTTTTCTCAGAGGCTGAGGGGAAAAAGAAGAGCCGGGTTCGAGTGACAGTGGCACAACTGGGGGGGGGGGATCTTCCTGTACCGTAAATGTCAGCCCACATTAGTGTCTTAGTCACACATCCCAGCAGCAAATCTCAGATTCAGAGCCCTCACTAGGGATATCACGCAAACCCCAAGGCAGGAGGATGGGGAAAGAGGAGGGAAGGAGTCAGAGGGAAGGAAATCTTACTTCTTAACAGGAATCCTCCCATCCTGATTGACTTGGAGTTTAAGCCGGGTATAACTGTGAGGACAAAACCAGGATTAGTTACAGCACAGCCTCTTGCTTTCTCTGCTGGATAAATACGGATAGGGCTGCCTGGCTCACTGCCTTCCAAACAACTCCCGTTCGTTGGGATTACTCACTGTACCCCTCCACACCCACCCGGCAAACCCCCGAAGATCCACCGACTCACAATGGAAGCAGCACGGGCCAGACTCTAACCAATCCCCTCAAAGGACATGAAAACCGTAAGTCTTTGAGGCGGGTTAGAACGGACCGACACCTCGGCCTGGATGGTCCAGCCTAGCCGAGTCTTGTCAGATCTCAGAAGCTAAGCTGGGTTGGCTCCGTTTAGTACTTGGACGGGAGACCCCCCAAGGGAGTCCAGGGTCACTATGCAGAGCCCGGCAGTGGCAAACTACCTCTGAATACCTCTTGCCTTGAAAACCCTACGGGGGTTGCCGTTAGTCGGCTGTGACCTGACAGCACTCTACACGCAGACGGAATGGACCTATGCGATGGCAGAAAAGGCACTCACGCTTTCTGCAAAGAGGTGTTCCGGGAAGCGTTCTGAGCTAAGATGTTGGTGGCCAGATCGAACAGTCCCTCCGTCCATATCTGAAAGGAGAGGAGGAGGAGAAACAGGGTGACACCAGCCACTTGGCTCTGCTTGTTTCCACCCTATGCAGAAGCTTTAGCCTAGCATACCTCAGACGCCAAGACCAAAAGCACAGCCCTGCTAGATTGGACCAGTGAGGGTCCATCTAGCCCAGCATCCTGTCTCACAGAGCAGCCAACCAGTTACCATGGAGGGCCAACAACAAGGCTTAGAGACTGAGGCCTTCCCCTGATGTTGCCTCCTGGCACTGAGATTCAGAGACTGCCTGCCTCTGAACTTGGAGCTTCCCTTACAGGGCTATTTTTGGGCAGGAACGCACAGGAACGGAGTTCCGGCTGGCTTCCAAGTTGGCCACACCCAGCAGGAACGTATTAGCATAATAGGCCACACCCAACAGCAGAAACTCATTAGGATTGGCTACATTAGGGGTGTGTGGCCTAACATGCAAAGGAGTTCCTGCTACAAAAAAGCCCTGGGTTTGGACAACAAACAAGGTAAACAGAATAAGAAGCAAAAGGTGGGTGTGGCTGGATGAGCACACTTCTGGTAACATGGGGGAGTGGCCTAATATGCCAATGAGCTGTGCTGTCAGGGGTGTGGCCTGATATGCTAATGACTTTCTGCTGTTGGGTGTGGCCTATTATGCTAATGAGTTCCTGCTGGGCTTTTTCTACCAAAAAAGCCCTGTTCCCTTATATTGCCTTAAACAGCATTAGGATTCCTAAAGAATGCAGTCAAACACCCAACAACTGTCCCAGTTCAGCATGCAGGAGACACACAGAAAAGCTAAAGCGTGTACTAAGTTTGCAAAACTCCCCTTGGGGAGGGCAAGAAAAAGGCTTGTAAAATGAAGTATGCTATCAATACAGAGTCCTGGTTGGGATGGCCCAGGGTAGCTCAGTCTCATCACATCTAAGAAGCTAAGCAGGGTTGGCCCTGGTTAGTATTTGGATGGGAGACACACACACACACACACCCCAGGGTCATTACACAGAGGCAGGCAATGGCAAAACCACCTCTGAATGTTTCTTGCCTTGAAAACCCAACGGGGTCACAAGTCATCTGTGACCCTGACAACACTCCACCACATCAAGGCAGATAAACGTTTCATTCAGGAAAAGGCTTCTTGCAGTGGGCGAACAGGTTCACAGGTTCTACAACAACTTGGACCTGATCCCACAGAACCGTTCTCCCCTGTCCCGGAAGACATTCCCCCCTCGATACATGAGGCATGTGCTCTATGGAGGGGAGGAGCACCACACCTGGAAAAGATCTGCAGGAACTCTCTCCTTGGGTGTCAATTAAACCAACTAGTGGGACAGAACTTCACACGGTGCATCAACATGTGAAATTCACTATCGCATGATGTGGTGAGGTCCAATGGCTTTATAAAAGGTTTAGACAAATTCATGGAGAAAGAGGGCTATCACCTGAGAAGACAGGACATGGCTCAGTGGCAGAACATCCGATTTACATGCAGAAAATCCTCATTTCAACCCCCAGCATTAGGCTGTAGGCGGACGTGAAAGACTGTGAGAGTTGCCACCAGTCAGAACAGACAACAGTGAGACTGACAGACCGAAAGATTACCTCAGTATAAGGCAACTTCGTGTGTTCAATGGTTAAACAGACAAACATTCTGTTTCAGCAGGGCCAATCGGAGGCTGAGGCCAAGAGGGCTATTTGGTTTGGCTGTCAAGGTCAGTAAAGGTAAAGGTAAAGGTTCCCTTGCTCGAAAGCCAGTCGAATCCGACTCTAGGGTTGCAGTGCTCATCTCCGTTTCAAAGCCGAAGAGCCAGCGCTGTCCGAAGACGTTTCCGTGGTCATGTGGCTGGCATGACTAAACACCAAGGCGCATGGAACGCTGTTACCTTCCCACCAAAGTGGTACCTATTTATCTACTTGCAATTTCTTGCTTTCGAACTGCTAGGTTGGCAGGAGCTGGAACTAGAGACAGGAGCTCACCCCGTCTTGCGGCACCCGGGTCTTGAACTGCTGAACTACTGACCTTCCACAGCCTGCAGTTCAGCGGCTTAACCACTTGAGCCACCGCAGCTCAGAGGGGACCTCAAATTTAGGCACATGTTAATTCTTTGCTATCTGATCAATTCGCACTTTGATTTTATAAGCATGTCATTTTTATTATGACTACAAGGCCTCGAAAGCGGGAGGTGGTCTGGGGCCTCTTTTGACCTTTGAGAGAGGGCCTGCGACCCACCATAAGCCACACACCAGGTACATAAAAACCGGCCTGTTTATCACTCCCCTGCTATTCCAGCTACTCTATTTGTATCTCATATTCTGTGGGTAACACCCTCTCTTATAGAATGCCATCTGCTGCTCAAGCAACGCTCCTGTCCTACCTTAGCCGTGTCATCCTGGACAACCGCCATGAAGTTGAGGAAGCTGGTGTTGACCAGGTCAGGGCCATACACAACCGTCACCAACTTATCCTCAGGGTGTTGCTCCGAGCCCCCAAAGCCAAGTATCTCTCGGATCTTCGGGTCCTGAGGCACAGCAAGGGAGAATCTGAATACGACCAACTCAATTCACCCAGCTGTCACGACGCTAAAGCGATTCTGATGAAATAATGGCTTTTCCTTCCCAGCAAAGCCATTACATGCAGACATTGTGTCACCTCACAGTACATCTCTGATTTTTGCTTTTTAAATACAGAGGAAACGTAACCACCAGTTTCACACCAAAGAAATCAGTCAGACACAAACACATTTCTATGCTGGCGTGCCCTGAATCATGGGAACAAGCTGTTTGGGCGTGACACCTCTCTCCCTTTTGCCTTTAATGCCTGAACTAAAAGAGACATTTGTCCACAAGTGGAATTTGCCCCCCAGGACAGTTCCAGGTTCAGAAAACAGTGTCAGGGGTGGGAAACTAGAACACTCCCCTGCCATTCCATGTTCCCAACCAGAATCGGGCCCTGCAGTGCTTGGGGAAATAAGGGCCCTACTGTTGTTGTCTGGTTATAGGGAATGCAATACTGGAGAACACCAACCTGACTTATGGGCATACGCAGGGGTCATTTCCTGCAGGAGCGCACAGGAGCGGCGCTCCGGCAGTAAAGAGCCCAGGGGGCGAGCACATGAACAAGCCCCACCCCCTGCTCCCAGCAGCCCTCAGTCAGAGCAAGAAGCAGCCAGGTAAGCTGCAGAGCCCCTCCCCGGCCCCCCAGTCCAAAACAGTCCAGTGGCACCTTTAAGACCAAGGTTTATTCAGGTACAAGCTCTCCCTCCTCTGTGAGAACAGATCTGCATGTCCCCCCCCCAAATAGCTAGCAATCCAAAACAGTCCAGTGGAGCCTGAGCAGTGGGTGTTGCCTTCTGACACACTCCTGGTGATGTCAGGGGGTGTGGCATATGCAAATAAGTTATGCTAATGAGTTATGCTAATGAGCTCCTGCACCTCTTTTTCTACAAAACGACCCCTGGCGCATATGCCACGTGTAGTTCCGATTTAAGTGCTGCAAACTTGGGAACAAGCCTCAGGCTCACGTCCTTCTTCCTCAGGAACTTCCTATGTACCAGGGGTCCCCCAATCTTTTTGAGCCTGGGGGCACCTTTGGAATTTTAGCAGAGTGTGGTGGGTGCAGTCACAAAACTGCTGCCATACGAGGTGGAGCCAGCCACTTCAATGAGTGAAGATCCTTGCGCTGACCTGGCAGCTGCCGCCAAAGTAACGTTTTTAAAAATCTGCACAGCCAATCAAATCTTCAACGGCCAATCAGAAGCCTTGCTGGGCTAAAGCTCCACCCACTTTCTAAAAACACCTGGCTAGCACCAGGAAAGTGTCGGCGAGCACCATGGCACCCACGGTCACCACGTTGGGGACTCCTACTCTGCACTATGTATAAAAGAGGACCAGAGCCAAGGCAGTATAATACCAGAATCTGTGTAGCACTTCTGGGTGTTCAAAGTCCTTCGTGCAGATTACATAGCTGTAACCCTCATAGTAACCCTGTAAGGTAGGCCAGTAGTATCTCCATGTTACAGAAGTGGGGAGGGGGTGCTAAAACCCAGAAGAAGCCGCTTGCTTAAGACCACCTTGCTTACCACAATCGGCTTCACTTTTAATCCCTTCCTTTGTCCTGACTTTTCTGCTGAGACTCCCTTTGTTGAACAGAGCTATAAGTACCTTGTCAAACCAATGCTCAACTTTTGAACATGTTTTGTGCACTTAAGCATTAAGTTTATCGCACTTTTTATTCTCTGACTTTTTGAACTGCTTCATGTTTTTAAACTGTATAAACTGGCTTTGTTATTGTAATGTCTTTGGGTTATACCCTTTTTGGCCTCTGTGATTTTGTCACCACGTTGGGGACTCCTACTCTGCACTATGTATAAAAGGAGGGTAGCCAGGGGTGGGGGTTAAATATCCCACATTTGCCAACCTCCAGGTGACACCTGGAGATCTCCAGGTTCCAGAGGCCCATGTTACCTGGTGGTCTCTGGGTTGCAGAGACCAGTTCCCCTGGAGAAAATGGCAGCTTTGGAAGGTGGACTCTATGGCGCTTAGGGCTGCCAAGTCTTGTTGAATCGCGGCGGGGGATCGTCATTCTTTACAGGAGCTCTGCCGCGGGGGACGGCAACAGGCGTCGCACCGCCGTCGCCAGGATGTGACGCTACGCATTGCTCTGGCAACGGGGCTGTTTGGAGTCCCGTTGCCAGAGCGACGCGTAGCGTCACATCCTGGCGACGGCGGGGCAACGCCTGGTGCCATCCCCCGCGGCAGAGCTCCTGTAAAGAATGACGATCCCCCGCCGCGATTCAACGAGACTTGGCAGCCCTAATGGCGCTATACCCTGCTGAGGCCCCTCCCCAAACCCCGCCCTCCCCAAGCTCCACCCTCAAAATCTCCCGGAATTTCCCAACCCAGAGCTGGTAACCCTGCTCTGAGCAGAGCAACTGTTTTACTAACCACCTCAGATTCCAAAGGTCTGTTTATTTTATTTCAAACGCCTTATGCTCCTTTCCGCCCAAACGGGGTCTTGCCAAGGCAGCAAACGTGAAAACATTAGAACCTCTGATCATTAGAACAGCATTTGAAGCATTAAGTAATGTAATAAAAAGGTACAAACACATAAGCGTGATTCAAACCACAGTTTATTTTCACTGTAGTCCATCCGTGAAATTATTCAGCTTGCGGACAACCGTTCAAACCCACCTGAATCTATATTCAAATCCTCGTTTGCCTCAAAAATTACGGTTTAATTGCTATTGTTCTTTCCCCTCACAGAGACCCGGCTGCCAGTCCCTCCTTGCAGTGTGGTAAGGGCAGTGCCAGAGAACAGGCCAGAATGACCATACTTGTACATCACACTGAACTATATGCTGGGCTAAACATGGTCGATAAACTACCTTCAAACCGTGGTTTTAGACGCTGGTCCGACCGACAATAACCCTAGCTAGCATAGTGGCCTGCGTTCAGACAATCGCTCGAGCCATATTTAGGTTCAATTAAACTACAGTTTCTGAACTGAGCCTTCCCTCCCTCCCTCCCTCTCTCAGCATTGTGGTTACCTTGGGGAGTTTGGCGTATCGCCCGGTCCGAGTGTCCCGGATAGAGCTGATGTCCAGAATGTCAACTTCCTGGAAGGAGGTGAGGTGGGAAGAGGAAGGGGGGAAAAAAGACACACACACCCCTTAGTTCAGTGCCCATTACGAGCTGACGTTACACATTTTCAACATCGTGTGCACGAACAAGAGCTACAAAAGATGTTAATTAGGCTGGGTAGCAAGGTCTCTCCCCAACGCGACAAGCTGCACATTAATTTTCGCTTGCTAGCTGGCTGCCACGTTTGATCGGACAAACAGATGCTTATTTTTGCATAGCTGCTTCGGAGGAGGAAAGAAAAAGAAGCACACACACACAAAAAAAATCATTTGTATCCATTATATCTGCGCCCCAGGCTGGCCATTAACACAAATTTCCCCTTCCATATTCAGGAATGTTAATGTTCCAGCTCTCTCTCCCTCTCACTTTCTCTAATGGAACTGTAACACAATCTTTTCATTTTTATCAAGGCACATTTCCATTAATTATTATGGTCAGTTTGTTGTTTATTGTGAAGTACAGGAATTCTCCACGCTTTCAAGGGCTGTAGTTATGCCGGGGCCTCTCAGAAGCTAAGCAGGGTCGGCCCTGGTTAGAATTTGGATGGGAGACCACCCAGGAAGCCCAGGGTCGCTACATGGAGGCAGGCAAAGGTAAAACCACCTCTGAACACCTCTTGCCTCAAAAACTACAGCGTCGCCATAAGTCGGCTGCGACTTGACGGCACCTTCCATCACAGTTATGCTGGGAGAATACCAAGATAGCTTATCATGTATCTGTTTAAAAGGCACATCAAAGGTGCACAGGGTGCTTTACAGAGTGAGAGGGTCCTTGCCCCAAGGAGATAACATTCTGAAATTTGAGACAAGAGAACGGTGGCAGGGGCAAGGAAAAACAGGGAAGAGAAGGAGAAAAAGAGATTGGATTTATACCCCACCCTTCGCTTGGAGTCTCAGAGCGGTTTACAATCTCCTTTCCCTTCCTCTCCCCACAACAGACACCCTGTGAGGTAGGTGGGGCTGAGAGAGCTCTTTCGAGGACTGCTCTTGAGAGAACAGCTCTGAGAGAACTTGTGACTGACCCAAGGTCACTCCAGCAGCTGCATGGTAGAGGAGCTGGGAATCAAACCCGGTTCTCCCAGATTAGAGTCCCTGTTACACATGATTCAGCAGGCGAGGTCTGCTAAGGGGTACATGAGAAAGGCAGGCTTTGAGGAGGCTTTTGAAGGAAGTCAGGGAAGCAGCTACACACAAGCATTCCGGGACGTAGTTCCAGGTCGAAGGAGAGAGCATGAAGCCTTCTGACAGCATTGGGACAGAAGAGCAGAGACATAAGGCCACAGAGAGCATGAAGGTAACTTACGGGAAGTTTGTTCTGGTGTCCAGGAGCAGGCAGGAAGTCAGTGCAGGGATTTAAGGAGAGGGACCATATTAGACAGGTAAAAGAGGTGAATGGCTTGTTGGCAGTGAAACGCTGGCAAGCCCAATTCAAGGCATTTTCATCATCCCCAAAACCAATCAGACTAAAGGCTGATTTAAGTTAAGCATCCCTGCTTCCCACGGCAGCCCAAAACTGAATACATGAAGCTACTTTATACCGTATCCGTTCATTGGTCCATCAAGGTCAGTATTGTCTATTCAGACTGGCAGCAGCTCACCGGAGTCTCGGGTGGAGGTCTTTCACATCACCTCCTAACTGGAGATGCCTTGGATTGAATTTGGGGCCTTCTGCATGCCAAGCAGAGGCTCTACCACTGAGCCACGGCCCCTACGCTCAGCATTTCCTCTCTGTGTCACAGCTGCCGTGTCACTCCAAACATGGGACTGTTAAGCTCGCACCCAGCCAACACACACACAGGTTCAGGAGGCAATACCCATCACCTCCTAGACAGGAGCCAACTCTGCCCCTATGCGGCTACCATGGAGCCATGGCTGCATCCTTTCTTAGTGTGATCCCTTCCCCCCCCATTTAAAGCTGTAGCTAGCAGGGTCAGCAACTTCAGCCCATCAGATGGATGTCCCAAAAACGACCCTAATGTTCAGCTTTTGTTTCCAATACATGAAGTCACTAGCCCAGAGGTAGGTAACTCCCAGTATGCATGCCAAGAGCAGCACACCGGGCCATTTTGCTTGGCAACCACAGTCTGATCTCCACCCAAGCCGTTGAGGCACTGGGCAGCAGTGCCAGGACCAGCAGCATGGGAGAAGGGCAACTTTGGGGCCAATACGCAGGCCTCCCTCTTACTCTGTCCTGGCCAAGCAGGCTCGGGCTAGCCCGATCTCAGAAGCTAAGTGGAGTTGGCCCTGGTTGGCACTGGGATGGGAGACCACCAGGTCAGCCCAGGGTTGCTACAGAAGCAGGCAATGGGCAAACCACCTCCGTTTGTCTCTCGCCTTGAAAACCCTATGGCTGCGACTTGATGGCACTTTCCACCACCAGTTCAGTGTAGTAGTTAATAGCGTGGACTCTAATCTGGGAGAACCGGGTTTAATTCCCCACTCCTTCACATGCAGCTGCTGGAGTGACATTGGGCCAGTCACAAGTTCTCTCAGAGCTGTTCTCTCAAGAGCAGTCCTTGAGAGAGCTCTCTCAGCCCCACCTCATAGGGTGTCTGTTGTGGGGAGAGGAAGGGAAAGGAAACTGTAAGCCACTTTGAGGCTCCAAGTGAAGGACGGGGTATAAATCCAATCTCTCTTTTTTAAAAAAAGATTTTATTCATTTTCTACACAAAAAAGAAAAAGACAATAACTACAGACAAGATAAATTGACATACAACAAACAAGGAACATGTACTCATTATAACTGCTTAAATTTTACCTAGATAGAATCATTATTTTATACACCTAACCAGTTTAACCATTTAAAGTGTAGAGCTTATATCTTAATAATTATGTTAAACATCTTCTGAGATATTTCTCAATCCATTTATAAAATCTTGACCAGTTCTTCTCCTCTAGTCTTTTTATTTGGGGAAATACCAGGAAACAGAGGCAGGCAATATTCTTTGCCGGGTATGAAATCAAGCTGCTCCTGCCTTCCGACATTCTAGCCAGCCCGTAGAAAGCTGACAAGCACATTTTTAAAATGGATTAAACATCCCATGTGCATGCCACCTTTGATAAGACTAAGCTCTATTAGATTATTTCCCCTTAGATTTTTTTCACTACATGGCATTGGCTTATTATCCATCCCCCAGCAAGATTTTGAGGGTATAAGCTTTTAAGAGTCGAAGCTCCTGTCATCGGATCGGAAGTTTATATCTTGCTTTCTAAGGCACTACTGCACTCAAATATAACAGTGAGTAGCCATTGATAGACAGCTGGCCTCCACAAACAGATAGATTCGAGTCCAGTAGCACCCTAGATGAATGACAAGATTTTGCTGTATCTGAAGAAGTCGAGACTCAGGAAAGCTCATCCCTAGACACAAATTTTGTTTGTCTTTAAGATGCTACTGGGCTCTTCCTCTTTTCTATTGCTACAGACTAACACGGTTACCCAGCAAGATTTTGAGGGTATAAGCTTTCAAGAGTCGAAGCTCCCTTCATCGGATCGGAAGTTTATATCCCAAAAGCTCATCTCTTGCTTTCTAAGGCGCTACTGCACTCAAATGTAGCTGTTCCACTGCAGACCGACAGGGCTACCTCTGAAACTAGCCCCCGTGAATTGGTCTAGAAGAAGAAGAAGAGATTGGATTTATATCCTGCCCTTCACTTGGAGTCTCAGAGCGGCTTACAAACTCCTCTCCCTTCCCCTCCCCACAACAGACAGCCTGTGAGGCAAGTGTGGCTGAGAGAGCTCTGACACAAACTGCTCTTTTTCAAGGACAGCTCTTATCAGAACTATGGCTTGCCCAAGGTCATCCAGCAGCTGCAAGTGGAGGAGTGGGGAGTCAAACCTGGTTCTCCCAGATTAGAGTCCGCACACTTAACCACTACACCAAACTGGCTCTAGTTCCCTTTAAAGCTGTCCAAGCGAATGCCCAGCACCAGAAGACAAGGGAGCCACTATGGCTCAGTGGTGGAGCACTTGCTTCACATGCAGAAAGTCCCAGGTTCAATCCCCAGCATCTCCACTTAAAAAGGACCAGGTAGTAGAAGAAGAGAGAGAGTTGGATTTATACCCTGCCCTTCACTCAGAGTGGCTTACAATGTCCTTCCCTTCCTCTCCCTGTGAGGTAGGTGGGACTGAGAGAGCTCTGAGAGAACTGGGACTGACCCAAGGCTACACCAGCAGCTGCACGTGGAGGAGTGGGGAATCAAATCCGGTTCTCCCAGATTAGAGTCTACGCTCCTAACCACTATACCAAACTGGCTCTCAACTCAAGCTACTGAAAGTTTCGGCATCACCTTGTACACTGAAACTGGGCTCACTCAACTCACGCAAACTATCAGGAGTTTCGGCATCACCTTGTACACTGAAACACTCAACTCACGCAAACTATCAGAACTATCGGCTCAGAAGCAGACATCTGCTCTCCGCTTGGGGCACACAGCAGCTTGAATCACATAATTTATATGAAAGGTTTTGGCAGTAAGGGAAGTTCCGGGGGGTGCTTGCCTTCTGGAGAGAGCTTACACTTAGCGGAGCCCCTTCTTTCATGCTTTGGTGCCTGTTACCTGCCTGTCCCCCCACCCCACCCCGTTCTCGCTGCTTCTGGCCCGGCTGTTCAAGCGTTTGTCGGGAGAAAGGAGGAAGAGAGGCTGCGGAAGCTAGCCACTTAAGCTAACTGTTCTGTCTTGGGTCTCGGCCAGATGTAAAAGAGCTTCCAACCACAGGCAAATTGTGTGGTAGCAAAGAGGCAACGAATGGACGGGCCGCCGAGGCTTCCCTCCGGTCAAAGGGAAATGGTTATTGAGGGTGGGGAGGGCGTCCAGGAGAAGGGAGGGAAAAGAAAAGCCAGAGAGAAAGAGAGAGAAAAAATTGTTTTGGAGTTCAGGTGTCCAAAGCTAACAGCACACCCCTAAAAGGCGTGGTACATTTTTCTCTCGATGAGTAGACAGGAAATGAAATCTGGATTTATCTTTTAAAAACAAACCAAGGCGCATTTCTCCCTTCTTCTCAGAGCCGAAACAGCTACACAAACCTGCAGCCGCACTCTCTCCTCCCTGCGTCCCCTTTTAGTTCCACCGCCAAGGATTTCCCCCGCCCCTGCTGTCCCTGCCACAAGAAAGCAGGGAGTTCAACAGCTCCAACAGCCTGAGGAGCCTCGGTTCCACCTGCTGTTTTTAACCCGCTTCTCTCAGTCAAACAGAGAACAATGTCGCCGGCTTCACAACACAACATTCCTCAAATGTTTAAAACCCACATTTCACATTCCGTAATCTGCCCAGCATCATCATACAACTAACAATGGGGTGCGGGGGGGGGGGGCTTCCTGTGTGGACTGGA